TCTTATCTGACAAGGAAGTACCTTCATCTCAAGTTGCTATGTTTGTCACCACCCTATTAGATATCAATATAGGCCTATTAATGAGATATAGACAGTATTCTTGTATCCTGAAACGGACATTAAATGACAGTCTTGCTTTTCATCTCCATAGAGAGAAAATAATAAACATTTTCTGATGTTGACATTTAGAAAATAGATTGAAAGGCAACGTTAAATGAGTTTCTAGCAGCATCTGTGAATATGGCAATGATAACACTATTGTTGAAGTTGTGTGTTTTTTGAGCTCATTAACTTCTGACATTTCTGAAACAGTGCAGGAGAATATTATATTTCGTGACGATAACCTAACTTTGATTGGATATGCCCATTAAATCTCCTTATCTGGAAACCTCCACATCTGCATCACGTTTTCATTTCAAATTTCGTTTTCTTATAAAAACCATATTTGATTCTTTTGTGGCTGTACATGTGTTCTCTGGCTGGTTGTGGATGTTAGAGGATTAAAACTCTATCTATGAGTGACATATCATGACAAGACATTCTTCGTGTGATGTCCCTTATTGAAGTCATGTCCCCTTACTGAATGATGTCTGATTCTGGAGTAATGTCCCTTTTTATGTCATCTAACCTGCAGGGTCAAGATGACCTATAGTCATCATGCTTCGTCCGTCATCATGCGTCGTGTGTTATGCGAAGTGAATCATGCGTCAACTCCTCATGTAGTAATGGTTGAATTTTGCACTAATTTACCTGAAACATTCTCAAGTGAAGGAGAATCCGTTTTGTTTAAAGGCTGGATATTGGGACCCTGGGGCAGGAACGACACTGCCCAATAGGGGAAATAGAGCAAATTCTTTCAAATCCTACTCGTCCTGTAGGAATGATTAGATTTTCCCCAAATTTTGTCTGAAGCATGAAACCATTTTGTATACACAGTGGATCTCTCAGGTGCAGGGCCCAATAGGGAAAATGAGTTCCTTCTATATGAATGTAAGGATATTTTGCCCTTTGGTCTGAAGCATTCGAGTGAGACAGAGGTTCAATTGTTAGCCCACCGTCACCATTTGTTGGACTTTTCAAATTGCCCTACGTCTGTGGTCCATCCGTCCATCTGTCCATAAACAATTTTTGTTATCGCTATTTCTTGAGAGGTACTTGTTGGATCTTCCTCAAATTTCCTATGTTAGCTTGGTTTCCAGTTGTTCCCATCTAATTTTAGGTCAGATCAGAAAAAGAAAATGGACTACAGGTATCTTGGATTTTGACTTTTAAAATTTGTTATCGTTATTTCTCAAGAACTACAGCATAGAGCTTTCTCAAATTTCATATGCAGGTTCATCTTGGTTCTAAGTTGTGTCTGTTTGATTTTGGGTTTGATCGGAAAACATGAAATAGTCAGCAAATGGCCATCTTGGATTTCAACATTGAAATTTTGTTATTGCTATGTCTTGAGAAGTACCGAGTGGATCCCTCTCTAATTTCCTATGTAGGTTCCCTTAGTCTGTAGTTGTGCTCATTTTAATTCTGGGATTGGTCAGATAATCAAAATGGCCGACAGGTGGCAAACTTGGATTTTGACTTTGCAAGTTTGTTATCACTCTTTCTTGAGAAGTGCCAAGTAAATCTCTCTCAAATTCTGATACTTTCTAGGAAAATGAATCCACCAAATTTGTCAGGCCACCATCATCAAGTTCTATGATCTATCTATACACTGATTGTCAGACAACCATTAAGGGCCGTTGCCCTCTTTTGTGTAAACTGTGTGTCATGGCCCCCTGGGGTTGGGCACAAAGGGAAATATGGCAAATTTATAAGAATTGTTCTTAAATTTTAGGAATAACTTAATTTGTCCTAATTTAGTCTGAAGCATCTATGGGTGGAGGGAACTTAATTTGGTATAACGATACGTTACATTCCCATGAGGCAAATGGGCAGGCCTAATAGGGAAAATAGATTTAAATCTTTTAGATGTTTTTCATTTACTTTGATAAAGCAATTTCAGTGAGCCTAATCAAGTCAGTGATACAGGCCCTATGGGCCTCTTGTTTATCAGTTATTAGATTTCTGCCATATTTTTTCATATTCATTTATTATGTGATGAAGAGAATCTTACACTCATCTAAACATGATGTATAATACCAGGGTTGGAACTTGTACAATATATTCCTTGTAATTTGACTCTGAAAACAACCAGCTGTTAGTGACAAGAGCTTGATTATTTGATCAATGAATGCTGAATATATGTGTATCTCAAATTCTTATAAATCTGTCCCCTACTGACTTAAAGTAACTTGGTAGCTCAGTCCTAAAGGCTTGAATCACATCAAATTACCATTTATATTTAAGTTAAGGGATTCCTCCCAGGGACTACTAGTCCTAATTCAAACCATTACATAGCAAACAACTTGACTTAAATAATAACTTATTTTGGAGTAATTTCTATGTATTTTAATGACTGAACAATCACAAAATTCCCTAATGGCTGATGAGAAATAGTGTGTGGTGTTTGTGGCACCATTGACCTGAGGCTTCACCACAATTTAATTTCTTACACAACATTTGGACCCATTAAACTCGTACAGAGAGAGTTCCCCTAAGGGGAATAACATGCATGTGGCAATTTGTTGATAATGAATTGGATGTGAAATCCTAATATAGCCTAGAATACAACACCATGGACTAGAATACAAATGTTCACACATGTATGTCACCCTCTGTTTGCCCAGTGAGAAATGTTAAATGCTTCACTTCAGCAAAAAAATTTGAATAGCTGTAATTTTCTGGAGATGTTAACTCACCTAGAGCATTAGGTTTGTTTCATCAGTAAAAATGATCAAACACACTTTGGAGACATAATTACGACAGGTTTGTCTAAAAATAAACAATTTTTATGTCTGTACATCTTAAATATTGATTGATTTGAGATGTTCAATACAAATTGGACCACTGCTGGAAATGGAACATGCTGTCTGCAACAAAGCAAGAGCCCCGCGTCCTGATAACATTTTAATAAAGATGTTTTGAGCAAGAGCTCTGCATTTGAATAAAGATGCTTTGAGCAAAAGCACTGCATGTTAATAAAGATGCTTTGAGCAAAAGCACTGCATTTTAATGAAGATGTTTTGAGCAAAAGCACTGCATTTTAATGAAGATGTTTTGAGCAAGAGCTCTGCATTTTAATGAAGATGCTTTGAGCAAGAGCTCTGCATTTTAATGAAGATGTTTTGAGCAAGAGCTCTGCATTTTAATGAAGATGTTTTGAGCAAGAGCTCTGCATTTCAATGAAGATGTTTTGAGCAAGAGCTCTGCATTTTAATAAAGACATTTTTAGCAAGAGATCTGCATTTTAATAAAGATGTTTTGAGCAAGAACTCTGCATTTTAATAAAGATGCTTTGAGCAAAAGCACTGCATTTCAATGAAGATGTTTTGAGCAAGAGCTCTGCATTTTAATGAAGATGCTTTGAGCAAGAACTCTGCATTTTAATGAAGATGCTTTGAGCAAGAGCTCTGTATTTTAATGAAGATGCTTTGAACAAGAGCTCTGCATTTTAATGAAGGTGTTTTGAGCAAGAGCTCTGCATTTTAATAAAGATGCTTTGAGCAAGAGCTCTGTATTTTAATGAAGATGCTCTGCATTTTAATGAAGATGTTTTGCATTTTACAAGAGCTCATTTTAATGCATTTTAATGAAGGTGTTTTGAGCAAGAGCTCTGCATTTTAATAAAGATGCTTTGAGGAAGAGCTCTGTATTTTAATGAAGATGCTTTGAACAAGAGCTCTGCATTTTAATGAAGGTGTTTTGAACAAGAGCTCTACATTTTAATGAAGATGCTTTGAGCAAGAGCTCTGCATTTTAATGAAGATGTTTTGAACAAGAGCTCTGCATTTTAATGAAGGTGTTTTGAGCAAGAGCTCTGCATTTTGATAAAGATGCTTTGAGGAAGAGCTCTGTATTTTAATGAAGATGCTTTGAACAAGAGCTCTGCATTTTAATGAAGGTGTTTTGAGCAAGAGCTCTGCATTTTAATAAAGATGCTTTGAGGAAGAGCTCTGTATTTTAATGAAGATGCTTTGAGCATGACACTTTAGTTAAATGACAAAAACAGTTTAATGAATATAAAACCAGAGTTCAAATCTCCTCAGGTTTCTATTGCTGTCGGCTTTGAGAGAGGTCACAGTCAGTTCATTTGAAGGGTTCAATATAAGCTGGCGGAGCGTTACAGAATGTTTCTAATGGGCCTCTATTTTACCAAAACCACCACACAACACCTTCTGATTTAAGCACTGATATGCATTAAGTTGTTAGAAAGACAATAAATTCTTGTGACTGATTTGTGGTAAATAAAGTGATTGCTTGGTCTTCATGCATTTTTATCATATTTATAGCCATAATGTTTAGTCCATCCATCTACCTTGCCTAAACTTTCCATTCAAATGACTTCTTCTCAATAACCACAAGGCTCAGGGTACTGATATGGAGCCTGTAGCATGATGGGATGAAGGTCTACCAAGTTTGTTGATATGAATGACCTTGATCTACTTTCAATATACATTTGCATTATGTGTACAATAAAGTTAAATTTATCTTACATTTTTGCCAAAATAATTTCTATGACATGGTACAAGAAGCATTGTGACTTGATCAGGTGACCGTTAAGGCCCTTGGACCTCTTATTAAGCATATATTGTTATTCTTGGAGAATGGATGTGTAATAATCTCTGTTGCTGGCTTGTGGAAGTCTGCTTTGGTGGGGTAAGAGTTCCAAAACTCTCTATTGCAAAGTTTCATTCTGGTGTTAAAACAGAAATCCTCCAAGAAATGGTTATTTATTATTTATCAGGAGAGTCTGACATTTGTTTGTGGAGTTTGAGAATTTCCAAGTCTGTTGTCTACAGAATCACTCAGAAATCATTACCCTGGTCGAATGTCTCACACATCATGACGTATCTAGGCTTCAGCCTCTACACACATTCAGGAGACTTCTTTTTCTGTTTCAGGTGCTGCAAGAAGGGGGATGAGTGCTGTGTCAGATGTAGAGGAGACGACCAATCGTCATGAGGCAGTGCCAGCTACCAATTCTAACACAAAGCTTGTCCTGTCAGGAGGGGAAGGATATGTTGACTTTAGAATTGGTAGGTCACAGCTGTTAAAGAATTGTCAGGATCAGAAAGTCACAACTGATTTAGAATTTTCAGGATCAGAAAGTCACAACTGATTTAGAATTTTCAGGATCAGAAAGTCACAGTTGATTTAGAATTTTCAGGATCAGAAAGTCACAGTTGATTTAGAATTTTCAGGATCAGAAAGTCACAACTGATTTAGAATTTTCAGGATCAGAAAGTCACAACTGATTTAGAATTTTCAGGATCAGAAAGTCACAGTTGATTTAGAATTTTCAGGATCAGAAAGTCACAACTGATTTAGAATTTTCAGGATCAGAAAGTCACAACTGATTTAGAATTTTCAGGATCAGAAAGTCACAGTTGATTTAGAATTTTCAGGATCAGAAAGTCACAACTGATTTAGAATTTTCAGGATCAGAAAGTCACAGTTGATTTAGAATTGTCAGTATCTGTTGGTCCCATTTGATCCAGAATTGTGTATTTATATGACCAGTGTCATTTTGAATCTCCTTTGACTATCTCGGTAAACATCAGAGAGGCTCAGTGGTATATTTAGAGCACTGACAACTGAGCTACCATGGCCCCTGACCTATAAGGGTCATTCCATGTCAGCTATCACAACTCACTGACCTAGAAAGGTCATTCCTGGGTAGCTATGATGGCCCCCTGACCTAGAAAGGTCATTCCAGGTCAGCTGTCACAACTCACTGACCTAGAAAGGTCATTCTAGGTCAGCTATCACATCCTGCTAACCAAAAATGGTCAATCCAGGGTAGGTATCATGGTACATGTCTTAGGTCATTTCAGGGTTCATTCAAAATGCCTTTCAACACATTGATTGGTGGAACCTCTTTTTAGTAGACATTATCTTAATCCAATTAACATTAAAAGCAAAGAAAATGTTTCTTAGGAACAAATTTTAAAGCATTTATTTTGCTTAGATATGTAGAAGTGGCCATCATTAATTTTTTCATTGAAAATTTGGTGCACATGTTTGGTTTCTTCAACTGTTTCTCTTGAATGTTTCCATAGGTGATGGTGATGATGAAGAATTCATTGATGAAGAAAAGAAGGTTTCACTCAGCAAAGGAGACAGAAGTCATCTTATTGTGTGGGAGGTAGCATGTACAGAATGATGTCAGCAGTAGCCATAACAGCAGTGATGCTACCCATAGCCATGACAACAAAATCATCAGTCACTTTGACAATAGTGATGTCATCAATTTCCATGATAAAAAATAGTGATCAGTCTCCATGGCAACAATGATATCACTGGTTTCCATGGCTACAGGGATATAACCAGTCTTTATGGCAAAAGTGATGTCATCAGTTAATTAATTGTTTGTGATTGTGTTGTTGTCATGACACAAACCAATGTTACTGAAAGACACAAGCAATCAGCTGGGTAAGAGACATGCTATATACAGTCATCATATCAACTAAATTTCACCACATCACCTCAAATCCTTAACATCCTGCACAAGCTGGACTGCCATTGTGGTGTACTGAAATGACGCCGTAGAAAGCATGGAAGTTAACAATTTAACACCAGACATTGGAAGAAAGGTCGTTGTCCCACTTCTGTTGTAAATTACATTTGGATCAGATTTCCAGATAATTCATGAAGTTGCACAATCCCATCAGGATCATGATTTGAGTTCTATGTCTGATATATTTTTGGTATTAGAAAAAGTATTGATACCATGACATCAGATTGATGTGTTGTGAAACACCTTACAATAGTATCATTGACATAGTAACACCTTATATCAACAATGCCATAGTAACAATGTCACTTAGTGTAAAAATGTTATACTGAACATATTTGTTACCTATAATCACAACTTCTGTTTAGAGTTGATATTAATAGCTATGTTCATGAATTAATGAGATTTGATTCCTGCAACGTTTTATTTATTGAAATATTGAGTGACTGTTACTGTGACATTACTGACGGAGTCAGGAGAATACAAATAACTGCAATATTTATTTTGGAGTTGGGATTTGGAAACAACTGCCATATTCTATATTCTGGTAACTGGAGAAAGGCATGATGTCTTCTCCAGCTCCAGTGTGTTTTGTATTTCCTTTAATACACCAAATTGCTTTTAAGGATGATGATGGATATGTGTATAGTTTATCACTGCCACAGTTGGAGACACTGAAGAGATAGCTATTTACCTGTGTGATTACTGGTCAGTCTACTGTTTGCTCTGCTGGTCAGACTACTGATCACTGTGTTGGTCAGTTTGCTCTGTTCAGTCTACTGGTCAATTTACTGGTCAGTTTGCTGGTCAGCCTACTGGTCAATTTACTGGTCAGTTTGCTGGTCAGTCTACTGGTCACCTTGCTGTTCAGTCAACTGGTCAGCTTGCTGGTCAGTGTGCTGTTCAGTGTACTAGTCAGTTTGCTGCTCAGTCTACTGGTCAGTTTGCAATTCAGTCTACTGGTCAGTTTGCTGTTTAGTCTACTGGTCAGTTTGCTGGTCAGCCTACTGGTCAGTTTGCAATTCAGTCTACTGGTCAGTGCTGGTCAGTTTGCTGGTCAGTCTACTAGTCAGTGCTGGTCAGTTTGCTGGTCAATCTACTGGTCAGTTTGCAGTTCAGTCTACTGGTCAGTTTGCTGTTTAGTCTACTGGTCAGTCTGCTGGTCAGCCTACTGGTCAGTTTGCAGTTCAGTCTACTGGTCAGTGCTGGTCAGTTTGCTGGTCAGTCTACTAGTCAGTGCTGGTCAGTTTGCTGGTCAGTCTACTGGTCAGTTTGCTGGTCAGTACTGGTCAGTGCTGGTCAGCCTACTGGTCAGTGCTGGTCAGTCTACTGGTCAGTTTGCAGTTCATCTTAGAGCTCCTGCATCCTCTCCTACGTGGAAAAAATCTGCATGGCATAGAGTAAGGTTTGATGATGACCTAGTCACTGAGGCTAAAGAGAAATGTAACAATTATTAGCTGTTAACTTAAAGAACTGACAGGCTGTACTGACCAAATTTACAGCTGATTTGGTGTGCTAGCTGAGCTTAAAGCTGATTGGCTGTTACCTAAAAGCTGAATGTTGACATAGCTGACATTAATTTTCTGCACTGACCTCGGCTCATTTGGCTTGACTGTACCATTAGTGAAAGTTTTTTTACTTGATGTAAATGTGCAATGAGAAAGGTTTTGTTCTGCTGTTATAGAAGTAAACAGTTTAAGATCAATCTCTGTATAACATTGTCTTTTCAAATATGGAAATATTTTCAAGGTTGTTTGGAGGCAGTAAATTTATATTATACTCATAAACACTCAGTGTCTATACATACTGACATATTAGCAAAAATAATCATAAATATTTTGTATCAGAAAAACATGTGTAAGAATTAATCGGATATGCTGCATATTATATAACAATATTATAGAAAGGTGAAAAACACTGCAGGTAAAGTAGAAACCTGTAGAATTTTAATTTAAATTCCATATTTTAAAAATCTATTTTGTTTTGTTATCCTTTCATAGGGAATGTTGTTACTTTTCCCAAATTTTACCCGTTTCTAATTTCATTTTAAGTGTAAGTTTAGTGTCTTGTTTATCCTGAACTCACCATCATGAGATTGTGGGCTATTCAAATCACCTTACGTCTGTGATCCATCCCTAAACATTTCTTGGTATTACTATTTCTTACAAAGTACTGGAATTTCATATGTAGGTTCATCTTGGTTCTTAGTTGTGTCTGTTTGGTTTTGATCAGAAAACATAAAATAGTCAGCAGGTGGCCATCTTGGATTTCAACATTGCAAGTTTGTTATTGCTATATCTTGAGTTGTACTCAATGGATCTCTTTCAAATTTCATATCTAAGTTCCCCTTGGTCTCTTATTGTGCTGTTCAATTTCAGGACTGATGAGAATGAGAAAAACAAAATGGCTGACATTTGACCATCTTGGATTTGGCAGTTAAAGATGGTTATTGCTATTTCTGTAAAGGAGTGTTCAAATGTTGTACCATTAAGAGAAAAAGATCCAATTCTAAAAAATAAATAAAGATCACAGAATGGTGTGCTCAAAGATCCCTCTGGGAGCTCGTGTTTGACTATGTTAATGGATGGGAGCCTGTCTGTTCATGTCTTTGTTTACCTATGAGAAAATTAACATGTCAGGGGGTGGGCTTATTATGGAACAGTGTCATGGGATGGGCTTATTATTGGAGAGTGTCAGAGGACAATGAGATATATGTAGTATTGATTTGTAACTCTACTAAACAACAGTAGATAAGAGTGGGCTTATTGCCAGACACGGGCTCATTGAAGAATAAATACATGATTTCAATATTTGTTGTTGTCATACTTCTGAAGAATGTTTTAGAAAATTTTCAACCTTATTCCTGCCTTGTTCCTCAAAACAACCTTAAGTTCCTGTTTTTTAGAACAATACAGACTAAAATAATGTAAAAAAATTGTGCCTGGATTAGCAGGGAAGAACCCTTAGTTATAATCTGAAACAGATCCCCCAATAACTGTAGATGAGAGCCATCAACTTGTCAAATCTCTTATTACTGTTTCTCAGTTCGGTCTTAGGTCTGTTGGTGTTTATTGACAAAGTATTGATTTAGCTGATCAATTCTAATAGAAAAAAAAAACAAAAAAAATCCAAATCTTGTGTCAGTTTATACAAAAGCACAGGGAACTTAAAACTACAGAGAGAATTAAACAATACAGATCCTGAGAATTAAGAAGGGTTGTGTCTGATCGTGTTGATAACATGATGAAGACATTGGTTTTAGTCCCTTGCAAATTAGCAAAATGTTTGAACAGGTCTATTGGGAATTTTTTTTAGTGGCTTGTAAAGTATCGCTTGGTAATGAATAATGAGCAATATTACTTCATCAAAAACATTTTGGAACATGTTCGTTAATTATCTTTAGACGATCGAAGGCTAGGTAGGAAGCTCAGTCTTACAAAATGATCAGGACATTGGTGCCACCCAGTGAGGAAGAAAAAAGAAAATTTGTGTTCTTTGGAATATCTTCATATTAAAAGCTGAAATTCATTTCAGAAAAAAAAAACAAACTGAAGAATTTGCTTACATATTTGTTGTGGTGTCTTTGACAGCACCAAACTATGTTCATTATAACAAATATTTCACAGTATGCAGTTTCTAGATTTACTGTTGTACAGAGTGATTGATCTGCGTTTGTTTTAATGGTCCTTGACAGGATTATGCATCAGTTTTAGAAGCAAAATGAGCAACTGGAGATTGCAGGACAGTATTATTGAATTATTGTTTCCAGACTTTCACATGAAACATGGTGACAGTGATGGATTGGCTGACCACAGAGCTGTAGACTTATACAGATGTGTGAAGGTCCTTTACGTATTTGTCAGTCATGACCAGAATTTATTGACCACTGGTTAACATAATGAGCCACGTTTCCTACATAATTTGGCCACTTAGCAGCAGGTTTTGTTACTTCATTCACGCAATTAAGACACTTAACTGTACAATTTGTTTGATTCCTATCACATTTGGTGACAGGAAATGGACTGGAAGATTTTCCCTGCCAACAGAATAATTACATATCTGTGTGACCAACACTAGTAGTTTAAAAAAACATCCATTAGCTTCATCAATACTGGAGGATTCTGTGTCTAAGTGGTATGTAAGGCCTTTTCTTGGTAACTGTGGTTGGGATTCCACAACCTGCCTCTAGCCTAGGTGGTATATCATTATGAATTTCCTTATTTCAGAAGGAATTTTCTAATGTTCCTCAGAAAAATGAAAAGTTTGCCTATCCATACTAGATGAATTGAAAAGGAAGGTAATTGAAATTTTATAAATAAATTACCTCAGTATGACCTTGACCTTGATGTACAGAACCAAAATTATTAAACAAAATACCACCTTCTCTATCTAGATAATAAAATCCTGCTATTCATTCAACTTGATCTACTTAAAAGCTACCTATATTAACCTATCTAAACATATGTTATACTATGTAAACCCAAATTTACCAATATTTACCTATATAGAACTACATACAAGAACCAAAGATTTTTCTTTTTTTTTTCTGTTGCATTAAAACATTTCTCACCTGGTGTTGAATTCTTCCTACAATAATTGAAACAGGGATTTCAGTTTAAACTTCAAACTTTCACACAGTTGTTTATTTTTCCCCTTGTGTGAAAAGTGTGCATACCTTATAGTAATAATCCAGATCCGCAGAAAACTTTATAGAAAGCTATATGTAAAGACACATTAAAAGGTTGGATGGAAGGAAAGCTCAATTCTAGATAGAATCATGAAGCTGAATCCCTGTGTTATAGTGATCTAGGTGATCATCTCCCTCTAATGACAAATTGTAGGACAATTATTGTCACAATGAGGCTGTAAGATAGTGTTTAAAACACTGTGGTCTGTCATCAGAAAAGTCAATTATTGTGAGGAGTTTCTAAATGACAGATTTTAGAATAATAAGTGTTCATTTGTATTTTCCAAAACAAATGTAATTTAGTAGTTAAAGTGCAAATGGTTTCATAATTTTTATTTGCTGAATCAGGGAGAAGATGGAACTAATTATCTCATGTGGTACTCATGTGTATATTTCTGAGCGAAGGAACAGAAGTATAAGATATTTCCATATTTCTGAGCAAAGGAATGAAAATATAAGGTATTTGTGTAATTCTGAGCAAGGGAATGAAAATTTGAGGTATTTCTGTATTTCTGAGTAAGGGAATGGAAATTTGAGATATATCTGTATTTCTGAGCGAGGGAATGAAAATTTGAGGTATTTGTGTAATTCTGAGCAAGGGAATGAAAATTTGAGGTATTTGTGTAATTCTGAGCAAGGGAATGAAAATTTGAGGTATTTGTGTAATTCTGAGCGAGGGAATGAAAATAAAAGTGATCTTAGTTAGGATTTGGATAACAGTTCTAGTGGATCAAGGGACTGGTCAGAAAGGAGCGACAGGCAGTCCGTTATCTTTAGCAATGATTAGGAAACATTAGTATGACTATTGACTGAAAGGATATTTCCCAGATTTCTTTATCATGTTCCTCTTAGTCCCAATTTGTCGCCTTTTGATTTTGGGACTGATCAGAACAAAATGACTGATTGGGAGTCATCATGGATTTGACAGGTAAAGATCATAACATACTATCAATATATCTCCAGAGAGATTTTTAAATTAATTATAATAAAGAACAAAGATAAAAGGAAAATTCCAACGTTGAAAGATCAATGATGGTGGGTGCCAGGATCCCCTAGGATCTCTTGGTTTTAATATGATCTGTGATGTTTGATTATCCCTCTGATATTGTTTTGTTTTTTTTTGTTTTTTTTTATTACATTTAAATTTTTTTTTTGTTTATCAATGTTGTTTGTATAGGTTATATTGCCGTAGTTGAAATCTATTCCGGTTCTACTGAAAATTAAGGTGCCAGTTCCATGTTAAAGTATGTCATGCCTTGATTCATCGTTATCAACAATTCTATATTATTTATATCATATCTGTAAACTATGGAATTCTGTCAACGTTTTGAATTTCTTTCAACGTACTTAAAAAGTGGATATTTTCTTCTATTGAATTAAGCATACTTTATTTTATTCAGTCACTTTGATAAAGCATATATTCACGTTAATTTTATGTTCAATATCTTTGATGATACCTTTCTCTATCAACATGGCTTGATTCTGTTGAAACGTGATGATTATCCTGACGAGAGATTAATCAGTAAAACCACTTTGATAATGAAATGATAACAGTAGATAGCTGTACTTATTCCCTGGTGTATCTCCGCAGTTTATTT